GAAGACAGGAAGAAAAAAGGGAGAAGGAAGGAAGGAAAAAGAGGGAAAGGACAGGGAGGAAAAAGAGGGAGGAAAGAAGGAAGGAAGGAAAAAGAAAGAGGGGGAAGACAGGAAGAAAAAAGGGAGAAGGAAGGAAGGAAAAAGAGGGAAAGGACAGGGAGGAAAAAGGAGGAAAGAAGGAAGGAAGGAAAAAGAAAGAGGGAGAAGACAGGATGAAAAAAGGAGGAAAGAAGGAAGGAAGAAGAGGAAGAAGAAGACAGGAAGGAAAAAGAGTAAGGAAGGAAGGAAAAAGAAAGAGGGAGAAGACAGGATGAAAAAGAGTGAGGAAGGAAGGAAAAAGAGGGAGAAGACAGGAAGAGAAAAGAGGGAGAAGGCAGGAAGGGAAAAGAGGGAGAAGGCAGGCAGGCAAGAAGGAAAAAGCAGGAGAAGGAAGGAAGGAAAAAGAGGGAGAAGACAGGAAGGGAAAAGTGAGGGAGGAAGGAAAGAAAAAGGGAGAAGGGAAGACAGTAAGGAAAAAGGGAAACAGGAAAGAAGGAAGGAGAGAGGGTGAAGAGGGAGGAGGGGGAGAGAAAGGAGAGAAAATTCTTCCCAAGGTTCCTTCAGCGAAAGCAAAATGCTATGTTCTGAAAACAGCCAAGGCGGCCCAGCGAGGCCAAAGATGGACAGGGCCCTGGGGAAAATAAAAGAAAATAAAAATACAAATAAAAGCAGCTTCTATTTGGCCAGTGAAGAGATCGCCAGCCGAGGAGAGAATCTCGGGGGCTGCTTCGGGGGCTGCTTCGCAAGCGGTTCCTCTCCGTCCTCCCCTCCAAATGGGAGCCTCTATGCGCCGAAGCCGCCTCTCCCGCCTGCAAAACACCGCTGGCGGGCACGGCAAACAATTTATTCTTTCAAGCAGGGCGCGGGCAGCTGGGTGCCCCTCGGTTGCCTCCAGGAGCTAAAAGCGAATGAAAAATCTCCCAGACAATGAAACGCCTGTTCGGAGGGGCTCTGAATAACACAAAGGCTTGTGGCCATTTTCAAAGGGAAAGTGAAATAAATTGGCCTATTCTTCCCTCGGCCTCTCCCCAAAAACAGCCTGGCGGCAGAAAAGGCTCCCCTTGCAAATTGGCCCGGCCAAATGGTTGGAATTCTGCACTTTTCTTTCCCTTTTTTTTTGGCCTGGGTGAAGTCAGGCCGGGAGGGAGGGAGGGAGGCAAGAGGCTCGCGGAGTGCAGAAAATACGACGAGGGGTGTTTGGTGGCCCACAAGGGATGGGAGGAACCGATTCTACCTCACCACTGACTGCTGCAAACAGCTGGATGTTATGCCTCAGAGCACACAATGAGGGCTAGAAACTCTGCTCTTCCAAGTATTGACATTACCAACAACCACTTGGCTTAGCCCCTGAAATTCCGGGTCTTTTCTCCTTTTTCATTTGTCTTTCTTTCCGTCTCTATTTCCGTCCGTCCCTCTCTCTTTCTCCCTTCCTCTCTCCCTCCCTTGCTTCTCCTTCTCCTGCCTTCCTCCCCCTCCCTCCATCTCCTTTCCTTCCTTTCCTCCCTCCTCTCCTTTTCTTCCTTCTCCTTCTCCTGCCTTCCTCCTTCTCTATTTCCTTCCTTCCTTGCCTACTTTACCTTCCCTCCTTCTTTTTTCCTCCCTTACTTCTTCTTTTGTCTCTCCTCCTTCCTTCCTCCTTCCCTTTTTCCTCCCTCCCCTACTCCTCCCTTCCTTTCTCCCTCCCTTTCTCCCTCCCTCCCTCCCCTACTTATCCCTTCCTTCTTTCCTTCCCCTCTCTCTCTTCCTTCCTCCTTCCCTTGCTTCTCCTTCTCCTCCCTCCTTCTCCTTCTTCCTTTTTTCCCTCCTCTCCTTTTCCTCCTCCTGCCTTCCTCCTTCTCTATTTCCTTCCTCCCTCTCCTACTTTTCCTTCCTTCCCCCCTTCCTTTTTTCCTCCCCTACTTTTCCTTCCTCCCTCCCTTTGTCTCCCTTTCTTCCTTCCTCCTTCCATTTTTCCTCCANAAAGCAACCCAAACCGTATATTATAACCTATTAAATGAAATAATAAATGTATAAGAATGAAAAATGCTAAAACACCTGTAACCAAATGACATGCTATATGTGATGATGGTTTTTTTTCTGTTTTGTTTTTTGTTGTTTTTTGTTTTGTTTTGTTTTTCACTGTTGTGGGTATGTGTTGTTTATGTAACAAAAAAATAAAATAATTTTTTTTAAAAAGAAAGTATGGACTGAATTTTGTCCAAGCTGAATACTGGAGTTGGCAAGTTCTAAATCCAAGCTCAAGTTCAAGTTATGCCATTTAGTGGGACTCAGAAAATATGCTTGGCGTTGTGACACTTGCCCAGTGGAAGAGTTTGGTCCCAAATGATTATTATGGTTTTGATCTATTGACCTCTGATAAGATTCTGAAGACCTGACTGCTGTTTGGGCATTGGGCTAAAGTGCTAAATGAGCCCATCTATAAAGGAAGCAGGGTAGTATATTGGTTGCTGCCTTCGGCTATTTCAATCTGTGTTGTGGGTTTGCAAGTTTGTTTTTCATTTATTTTTACATTTTCCATACTTACTTTGAGTTAGGCAGCCATGAAAGCTGGAGAAATAAATAAAAATATGTACCAGGAAATGAAAGAGAAAGGTTTATTTCCCCTTTCCTGTGACTTCTCACATAGCCAAAGGTGAAATACCACCATGGCTGCAGCAGAAAAGAAGAGGAATAGGAAACCAGCAGAAGGCGATTTAAAGGGGAATTTTTTCTTTTGATTGGATAGAGTTTGTACACACATCCTTGACTATACAGGAACAGAGCAGGGAGGAAGGGACAGGTTCCTTATTTATGTTCCAATAGAGATGATAGGCTCAATTTTTAAACTATATAAATGAAACAAACAAAAACATACCTGCTCAACAAAAGGGATGACAGCTTAATTAATAAAGCACTCTGTGTTAGCCCCCAAAACAGAAAAATAAAATATTTGGAAATAGAGAATTAGAACTGCAGAAGGAAGCAAACATTAATCAAATCTCATTTTAACAAACAGTATTTCTACAAACTCATTCTTTAGGGGTTTGCCTTTTTAAAAGATTTAACAAAAACTCAGGAACATGACTATTTTCTTAACCTTGAATTTTTTGGCTTTCATCTGGATTTTTCCAAGTAGACAATATATAGCAGGCTCAGGTTGGTTTCTCGTAGCTGCAATGGCACACTCAATAGCCTTGTTATAGTTTTGACAAAATGACTGTACAAGTGCTTCTTGAACAAGTGAACATCCAAGAGATCCTGTAGGAGATTTAAATAATAATAAATGTAATAGTAATAGACCAAGTTATTATTACTACAGACATTGGTATATAGACAATGAAAAGAGAAGTATTGGCTTTCATTGAGAAAGTATCAAAACAAAAAAGTATGGCATATCAATTATAACACTAACACATAGTATTGTTAAACTGTAATTGATGGATAGGTACTTGAACAGTACTTGAAGCATGTGTTGTTTATATAGCTGCCCATGATATCTCAACAAATTATAATCAGTTAAGTGGATTTACTATGTCATGGCTGGCTGAGGAATTCTGGGAATCGAAATACACAAGTCTTAAAGATGCCAGGTCTGGAGACTCCTATACTATACAAAAACAAAAACAAAGAAAAAACCATGCTTAATTTAACTAAAATTGCACAGTACTTTGAAAGAGCTATACCTTTGTCCATTTCTGCCACTTGGTGTATACAGAAACTTGCAAGTTTAAAATGCTTCATTTGTAGTAAATACTGCCCCCTGTAATAAAATATTTCAACAAATTTCTCACTATATTAGTGACTGTAATATATATAGAAATAAGAAAACATTTTAGTATTTCCAAAATTCATTTAAATCACCTTTAAGATAAGAAATACTCTATTAACTATAATTACAAAAAAAAAACCAAAAGCATTCACCTTTTTCCTGAGTCAGACATTAAATGACACATCAAAAATAGTTCATTTATACTTAAAGTATTTTTTTTTCATTTTTTCAGAAGTGGCATATCAATTTAATAAATATATAATTGATTCTATTGATTCTAATAATAGATCAAATTTAATTTGTTTTTAGCTTACAAAGAAATTAATTTACACAAATTAATTTTTGTCAAAAAATTCATATACCCTAAGAACTATTCAACTATACAATTATTATAGTCTGTTGTACAGAGTTTTAGACTCCATTTCTAAGAGATGCTTCATGAAATATAAATGCAGCTCTTCTCTACAATTCTTTAAAGAAGCTGGGATCACTACCAGCTCCAAACAGCAGTTACATAATCCCAACAAATGTTATGGCTGTTTTAAAGAACTGCAGAACGGGCACTGCTTTAATGCTCCTATCTGCTCCAAAACTTCTCATCTAAAAAACACTTAATTTAAATAGCATTCTTGGTTCATTATTAATATTTCTATGGCATATAATTATTGAGCACTTTTCTAAGGAGATAATAACTTTTTGAAGACCTACAATCTACTCATTGGTCTTGTAATGTTTGAGCTTCAATCAGGAAACCGCATAAAGAAAAGAAAAATGTGTTCTTATACTCCAAATGAAAAAAAATCTTGAACTTAAGACTTAATACACAGTACAATTATATGGACATTTAAAAGTGAGAAAACAAAATTAAGCAAGATGCCCAAAAGAAGGCACTTTTGCTGCTGATAATATCACAATAAACGCTTACCTTGTTAAGATTAAATAGGGTAAGTTGGGATGGAGATGAATGGCTCGATTTATGTCTTTAACTGAATTCTTTAAATCATGAACCTGTTTTTTTGTTTTAAAAAAAATACATTTTTATTTCTCAGTCATGGATGCTGTTAGGACATTAACTGCATTCTGTTTAAAACAAATGTTTCTTTTCTTTTTCAATGTTTAGGATCAAACTAGATCACACACACACACACCTTTTCTTTAGTGCTTTCCACTCAGTCTTGACTCCTGCAATTGCCTAAACCAGTCCCTGCAGGGTTTTTTGGCAATGTTGTGAAAGTTATTAGCCATTGCCTCCTTCCTAGGGCTGAGAGAGAATGGCTCACCCAAGATCACTCAGCTGGTTTCATGCCTAAAGCGGGACTAGATTTCACACTCCCGCTTTCTAATCTGATATCTTCATAACTACATTAAACTGGCTTTCTTCAGTTTACATGAAATTTTAAAATCCCTCTTCCCTAAAACTATGACTATTCAGTTTCCCATTCTCCCTTAGTATGTAGTTGATTATACCACTGATCTGATACTGCAGTACATACAGTATGTAATCCACCACAATGTATTTTCAACAGAAGAGATTAGTAAAACAGATTATGACAAAACCTGGATTACTATGAAGGTGACACAATATTTGAATAATGGTGTCCAGAGGAGAAAAGAAAAGGTAGAAGATCTAGTTTGGATAAGGGTCCACTTTGTAGAACAAGTTCCTCAGTAAGGGATGGAGAAAATATTGGCTTTGATTATTTGCAGATACTTCATCAGCATCATTGCCTAATGACAAAACTGCCCTTCCCCTCCCACTCTAGGAAATCGTTTTCTCCAATTACTATTCCTTCTTAATTTTATTTTTGTTTGAACATAATATGTTCATATCAATCTTTTTGTCAATGGTCTAGGAAATCTTTAGTCAAATTATAAGTTCAATGTAACCAGGAGGTAGCAATAAAGTTTGGAAAATGAGGAAACTACTGCAAACTCATAGGGGTTTGGCACGAGAAGCAAGAAAATAACTTGGCTGCTAGGATTCTAGTCCCCAAGTTGCAATTAGACAAAGACCAAACAGAGAAAGCAAACTAGGAGAAATTCTTAAAGATATAATGGAATATAATTGTTGAAGAATATTTGGACTCTAATACAAATTGAAAGCAGCTATCTTTTTATGAGAAAACTGAAGGCCTGTTCCATTTTAGTTATAAAATTTTAAAACTAGATGGGTTCATAAACAATTCAGAAAGACAAAAACCCTGAATCAAACATCTTTCCCTATTCCATGGTAAACAAGCAGACAAATGGCTGTTTTGGAATAAATATTTATAATTCTTAAAATATGTAAAATAGATACCTTTTGGTAAGCTTGCGCTCTGCACAAATAAGGTCTAATATCTAATGGATCAACCCGGATGGCTTCAGTGAACCGTACAATAGCATCAAAATACAGATCCGAATGCAACATCATAATCAATCCAATGTTTATATAAGGTGTTGTAAAATTCCTAATATGACAAAATTGTATAAATATTACATTTTGCAGCAAGTCATTTCATAGAATTTACTGTTTTAAGCACAGATATGTAAGTTTTACCAAACGTTTTTCTGTCACAATGCTACCTCCTTTCATTTTCACCCTTAAGAACAAGAAATTTCAATTTCAATTTCAATTTTAATGGATTTGTATGCCGCCCAATCCCGAAGGACTCTGGGTGGCTTACATAAAAACAGTTTAAGAAATATTAAAAGAATTTAAAATACCAGACAAAGCAAATTAAAAAAGACACAACATGCACTCGATCTTAATGGGGCTGAAGCTCAATCAAAGATCAGCAGTCCCAGGCCTGCCGGAACAGCCAGGTCTTAACAGACTTTCGGAAGGCCGAGAGAGTGGGGAGGGTCCGGATCTCAGGGGGTAGATCATTCCGTAGGACCGGGGCAGCTACAGAGAAGGCTCTCCCCTGAGGAGCCGCCAGACGACATTGTGTAGTCAACAGCACCCGGAGAAGGCCCACCCTGTGAGATCTTATTGGGCGCTTGGAGGTATGTTGCAGGAGGTAGTCACGGAGATATCCAGGTCCTAGGCCATTTAGGGCTTTAAAGGTGATAACCAGCACCTTGAAGCGTGTTTGGAGACCAATAGGGAGCCAGTGCAGCTCACGGAGGATAGGTGTAACATGGGTGTATCTAGGTACACCCAGTATCGCTCGCGCAGCTGCATTCTGGACCAATTGTAGTCTCTAAACACTTTTCAAGGGCAGCCCCATGTAGAGAGCATTACAGTAGTCGAGTCTTGAGGTGCCGAGGGTATGAGTGACCATTTGGAGTGCCTCCCGGTCCAGATAGGGCCGCAACTGGTGCACCAGGCAAACCTGGGCAAAAGCTCCCCTGGTCACAGCAGGTGAAAAAAAATAATGTCTGCTATTTTGTAGAAAAATAAGTTTATAGTCAAATGAGTTTTATTGGAGAATGAATAACACCATTTGCAGTAGAAAATGGCAGAAATTCCTGTTGTATTAAGAGTGCTTTAATGGTAGACATGTACCTGATAAAATAGAAAAGAATACTAGGCTCATTTTATGAGGTTATCATAACAATATTTCTGTAATTTCAGGATTTATAAATAATACTATATTCGAGAGTGCTACCTCGTTGTGCACTTCTAGATTTGTAGAAAAAAAACTAACGTTTCTGACGGCTGTTTGTGAAAGATATTCAGTGCCTTAAATTATTGTGGCATGTGTTGTTTTTGCAACTGGTTTATATGACTAAATCTTACATTAAAGAGTGAGTAATTAAGAAAAGAGAGCAAGCCAGTAAAAAATACCTGTCCAAAGCAATTGCATTTTCAAAATCACAGATAGCCAGGGGCCACTGTCTCAATTCTGCATACAAGATCCCACGATGAAGGTAAGCACAAATATTGTCATATTTGTGATTGAGAAGGACTGGAAGAGAAAAAGAATATCCTAAATTTTCACCTGTTAAATGTGCCTTTAAATCCAGCTTTAATAAATTCTCTTTTAATAAATTAATCAGAAGGAAGCAATTCTTTTCTGGGATCAATTGAAGAAGGCATCATCAAGACAATGTTACATCGTATATGTGATATCACTATATAAATGTTATTTGCATTGCACAAATAACACAAATACTGCCAATTGCATCACAATGTTGTAATGTAAAGGAAGTAAAGCATAGTAGAATTTAATCTGTTGCATGAAAGATCTACTGCATTAAGGTCTGGTAAACTGAAGTTTCACTTGTATGTTTTAATAATATTCTTCAAGTTAATTTGCTCTTCATCTCCCCAAGATGGCTGCTGTGTGATAAGAGCCTTTTTCCTCTCTTGCCGATGATCTGCTATTTTTACTGCCAAAAGTGGTTCTCTAGCAATGCTGCTTCCTAGATTGAAGGTGAGCACTTAGGAATGACCCAAAATGGTATTGGTATTGGTATTTTATTATATGTATGCCGCCCTTCTCCGGGAGGACTCAGAGCGGCAAACAATTCAAAGGGGAAAAAAGGGGGAACATAAAAGACAAAATACAAATAATAAAAGTCAACAACAATCGCACAACCATGCATGTCGAGAGGGGAGGGAACTCATCACCCCCAGGCCTGCCAGCAAAGCCA